ACATTGTAAATTTCTTCCTTTTCCTCGTGAATCGTCGCAAGGAAGCTAACATGATAGAAGACAAGGAGGCTTCAGTGGTAGTATACCAAAAAGGATTCTTTGGAAATGTACCAAGTCAATCCTCATGGAGTATACCACGGAGACGTCGGTCCCAGAATGCCATGAAGACGTAGTATTACCATATTCCATGATAATATGCCAAGGTATCAATTTAACTTGGATAGTTAAATCCATTTAACTTGGATAGTTAAATCCATTTAACTTAGATAGTTAAATCCATTTAACTTGGATAGTTAAATCCACTTAACTTGGATAGTTAAATCCATTTAACTTGGATAGTTAAATCCACTTAACTTGGATAGTTAAATCCATTTAACTTGGATAGTTAAATCCATTTAACTTAGATAGTTAAATCCATTTAACTTAGATAGTTAAATCCATTTAACTTAGATAGTTAAATCCATTTAACTTAGATAGTTAAATCCATTTAACTTGGATAGTTAAATCCATTTAACTTGGATAGTTAAATCCACTTAACTTGGATAGTTAAATCCATTTAACTTGGATAGTTAAATCCACTTAACTTGGATAGTTAAATCCATTTAACTTGGATAGTTAAATCCACTTAACTTGGATAGTTAAATCCATTTAACTTGGATAGTTAAATCCATTTAACTTGGATAGTTAAATCCATTTAACTTGGATAGTTAAATCCATTTAACTTGGATAGTTAAATCCACTTAACTTGGATAGTTAAATCCATTTAACTTGGATAGTTAAATCCATTTAACTTGGATAGTTAAATCCATTTAACTTGGATAGTTAAATCCATTTAACTTGGATAGTTAAATCCATTTAACTTGGATAGTTAAATCCATTTAACTTGGATAGTTAAATCCACTTAACTTGGATAGTTAAATCCACTTAACTTGGATAGTTAAATCCATTTAACTTGGATAGTTAAATCCATTTAACTTGGATAGTTAAATCCACTTAACTTGGATAGTTAAATTCATTTAACTTGGATAGTTAAATCCATTTAACTTGGATAGTTAAATCCATTTAACTTGGATAGTTAAATCCATTTAACTTGGATAGTTAAATCCATTTAACTTGGATAGTTAAATCCATTTAACTTGGATAGTTAAATCCATTTAACTTGGATAGTTAAATCCACTTAACTTGGATAGTTAAATCCATTTAACTTGGATAGTTAAATCCATTTAACTTGGATAGTTAAATCCATTTAACTTGGATAGTTAAATCCATTTAACTTGGATAGTTAAATCCATTTAACTTGGATAGTTAAATCCATTTAACTTGGATAGTTAAATCCATTTAACTTGGATGACACCTTGGAAGGATGTCAATGAATAGCCCAACCTTATAGCCGAAGCTGACTATATGTTATAGTTCTCCCTGGCTTAAGGGCGCCCCTTTGAAGCGCAATTGCAATTATATATGCACATGAGTGACGTGTTATACACGGATACATTTGCATGAAGGCTGCAGTTCCTAATTCATACATGTACCTAGACAATATATATTTTATTAACTGGGGGGCTGCAGGAGTTCTCTCAATTACAGTCATGGAAATATCAGAGTGATATGTTCCCCCACATCACCGTGCCTCTGACCCGAGGGATGGGGGGGGGGGGGGGTGGTACAGACACAAAATACAGGTAATTTAATGAGAGAAGAGTGCACAGGTCTGCACTCTGGCTAACTTATATAACCAACACTCAAGGGACCGCAAGCAAAAAATAAATTAAATTGCTGTTATTTGCATATATTTCAACGCTGAGATGAATATTCCGAGGTTATATATATATATATATATATATATATATATATATATATATATATATATATATATATGTCGTACCTAGTAGCCAGAACTCACTTCTCAGCCTACTATGCAAGGCCCGATTTGCCTAATAAGCCTAGTTTTCATGAATTAATGTTTTTTCGACTATCTAACCTACCTAACCTAACCTAACCTAACGTTTTCGGCTATCTAACCTAACCTAACCTATAAAGATAGGTTAGGTTAGGTTAGGTAGGGTTGGTTAGGTTCGGTCATATATCTACATTAATTTTAACTCCAATAAAAAAAAATTGACCTCATACATAATGAAATGGGTAGCTTTATCATTTCATAAGAAAAAAAATTGAGAAAATATATTAATTCAGTAAAACTTGGCTTATTAGGCAAATCGGGCCTTGCATAGTAGGCTGAGAAGTGAGTTCTGGCTATTAGGTACGACATATATATATATATATATATATATATATATATATATATATATATATATATATATATATATATATATATATATATATATATATATATATATATATATATATATCACCAGCAAGAAAAAGAACATCATTTGTTAATGATTCGGAGCCCATTCCTTTATGTTTAAGACCTCATATAAATATTATTATTATATTAATGTTAATACCTCTTGTAGACGTACCTGGTTGATGGGGTTCTGGGAGTTCTTCTACTGCCCAAGCCCGGCCCGAGGCCAGGGCTTGACTTGTGAGAGTTTGGTCCACCAGGCTGTTGCTTGGAGCGGCCCGCAGGCCCACATACCCACCACAGCCCGGTTGGTCCGGAACGTCTTTTTATATAGGGCATTGAACGGTTGGTATTTATTTGTTGCTGCCTTTGGTGGGTGATGAGTGTGATTGTGGGGGAGTGTGGTGGAATGGTGAGGGTGTTATCATGTGGTGGGAGTGATAACAAGTGTTGCTTCTTATAGTGAATGGTATCATTGAAGATAGGAAGTGTCGACATTGGGACATGAGATGAGGTGTATATGTGTGTCGACAGTGTAACAAGACATGAGATGAGGTGTATATGTGTGTCGACAGTGTAACATGACATGAGGTAAGGTGTATGTGTGTCGACAGTGGGACAGGACATGAGGTGAGATGTATGTGGGTCAACAGTGGGACAGGACATGAGGTAAGGTGTACATGTGTCGGCAATGGATCGAGAAATGAGGAGTGAGGTAGAATTCTTCTCTCCTCAGAGGTGTCGTGTCTCCGCAACATTATCCGCAACACCTCCTGGTCAGTTTTTAACATGGAGGTGCTTCACGAGCTACGGGTCGACTCACACGCAACAGCACGAAAAAGGCTTCTGAGGAAAGTTTCAAGACGGCGAAGACAGACTGAAGAAATTACTGTTTGGCTCAGAATTTGGGAGTAAAGGAGAAGTGAAAGGAACAGTAGAAATGAGAAATAAGTGGAAAGGGTCAGAGAGGGAAATTTATCGATGGAGAAATGAAAGTCTTGCGAATATATTGTATTTAGTAAAATGCATATGTTATAAGACGACGGAATGTACTGCAACTACGGATCCTTCTATTACGAACACTGCTACGGATCTGTTGCTACGGACCCCTGAATATTGACCACCACCTTCCCTAGTACGAACCACTTCCTACAGGGCGCCAGACAACTACCCCTTGGGTCCGTAGTTCTCTGAGATACTTTTGCAACCATTGACTTTCTCACAAAACCAAAGTGTAGTAGGAATTATCTCAAACTACAACCCATTTTAGGCATTGATACTCTGGCAACAACCCTTACAACCCAGGAAAGAATGATGTTTCATTGTAATTATTAAATCATTCTCAGCTGCATTTAGGGCGAATAAACCCTTGAACTGGCTGAAATAGACGAAAATGGTTCAACACACAACTACACACTACCAAAACAAATACTAATTATCACAAGAGACTGTGACGATATTGGAGAAATATTTTAAAGAGCAGAGATGCCGTGCAGAGACCAGGACGTGGAGACTCTCAGAGAACAGGTGCGGACCGAGAGAGAGAGAGAGAGAGAGAGAGAGAGAGAGAGAGAGAGAGAGAGAGAGAGAGAGAGAGAGAGAGAGAGAGAGAGAGAGAGAGAGAGAGAGAGAGAGAGAGAGAGAGAGAGAGAGAGAGAGAGAGAGAGAGAGAGAGATGTTCCTGCTGAAAGGAAACTCTTGGATTTAGAGGACAAAAGAAACCTGATGGATTCCTCGCCTCTTTGACCATAATGCTTTCTCTGAAGTAGAACTATCTCCTCCTGTAGGACGGTAGGGAGGGAAGATGGAGGGAAGATGGAGGGAAGAAGGGAGAGAAGGCGTTGGGAAGGAAGGTAGAGGGTTGCAGGGAGGTTAAGTAGAGGCTATCAGAGAGGCAAGGTGTAGAGTGTCAGGGAGTCTAATACAAGACCTCAAAGATATCAGGTATTAACATAAGCCACCAGAGAGAGAGAAACAACGGTACCCTATCCTCCTGTTCAAGCTTAACAACATTCCAGCTTGAACTTTTATCGAAACCAAGCGATTGATGCAGCTGAATTACACTGAACTTCTCACCTTTATTGCTATCTCTTCCACAGATAATAATAATAAATACAGGAGTGACATTAGGATCCAGAAAGCTTTAGTTCCGCTTTATAATTAACAGCAACTTTATTCTTTTTAGACACTGGCAGGCACCCCCCCCCATAAAGCTTGGTGGGTTTTATTACCACGAAATGAGCTCTGGCTCCTGGGCCCCCACCTCTTTTATAGCAGTTGGTTTTCTCATGCAATAACAACTGATATTTTTGTTCTCTATGTGAACTCTTTTTTTATTTATATCCGGTAAATATGTTATTGCCACCTGTTTCCCCTTTTGACTCATATTGCAAGTTTTGTCCATGCCTCTTTTATTTATCCATGCCCCCTTTATTTATCCATGCCCCCTTTATTTATCCATGCCCCCTTTATTTATCCATGCCCCCTTTATTTATCCATGCCCTCTTTATTTATTCATGCCCCCTTTATTTATCCATGCCCTCTTTATTTATCCATGCCCCCTTTATTTATCCATGCCCCCTTTATTTATCCATGCCCTCTTTATTTATCCATGGCTCCTCACAGCCGTCCCTTCTTCATTTTATTCCTGTTATTGATGTGTCCGAGAAGTTGATGTATACCTGTTGCTGATTTATCCCTGTTGTTGACGAGACCCTCTTATTGATGTGTACCTGTCACTGATGTGTTCCTGTTGTTGATGAGACCCTCTTATTGATGTGTACCTGTTACTGATGTGTTCCTGTTGTTGATGAGACCCTCTTATTGATGTGTACCTGTCACTGATGTGTTCCTGTTGTTGATGAGACCCTCTTATTGATGTGTACCTGTTACTGATGTGTTCCTGTTGTTGATGAGACCCTCTTATTGATGTGTACCTGTTACTGATGTGTTCCTGTTGTTGATGAGACCCTCTTATTGATGTGTACCTGTCACTGATGTGTTCCTGTTGTTGATGAGACCCTCTTATTGATGTGTACCTGTTACTGATGTGTTCTTGTTGTTGATGAGACCCTCTTATTGATGTGTACCTGTCACTGATGTGTTCCTGTTGTTGATGAGACCCTCTTATTGATGTGTACCTGTTACTGATGTGTTCTTGTTGTTGATGAGACCCTCTTATTGATGTGTACCTGTCACTGATGTGTTCCTGTTGTTGATGAGACCCTCTTATTGATGTGTACCTGTTACTGATGTGTTCTTGTTGTTGATGAGACCCTCTTATTGATGTGTACCTGTTACTGATGTGTTCTTGTTGTTGATGAGACCCTCTTATTGATGTGTACCTGTTACTGATGTGTTCCTGTTGTTGATGAGACCCTCTTATTGATGTGTACCTGTCACTGATGTGTTCCTGTTGTTGATGAGACCCTCTTATTGATGTGTACCTGTCACTGATGTGTTCCTGTTGTTGATGAGACCCTCTTATTGATGTGTACCTGTCACTGATGTGTTCCTGTTGTTGATGAGACCCTCTTATTGATGTGTACCTGTTACTGATGTGTTCCTGTTGTTGATGAGACCCTCTTATTGATGTGTACCTGTCACTGATGTATTCCTGTTGTTGATGAGACCCTCTTATTGATGTGTACCTGTCACTGATGTGTTCCTGTTGTTGATGAGACCCTCTTATTGATGTGTACCTGTTACTGATGTGTTCCTGTTGTTGATGAGACCCTCTTATTGATGTGTACCTGTCTCTGATGTATTCCTGTTGTTGATGAGACCCTCTTATTGATGTTTACCTGTCACTGATGTGTTCCTGTTGTTGATGAGACCCTCTTATTGATGTGTACCTGTCACTGATGTGTTCCTGTTGTTGATGAGACCCTCTTATTGATGTGTACCTGTCACTGATGTGTTCCTGTTGTTGATGAGACCCTCTTATTGATGTGTACCTGTCATTGATGTGTGGCAGCCGCTCCATTGGATCTTTTTGGTTCAATATAAACCGGTTATACTTAACCACTTTGATCATACCATTGCATCATTCGGGGCACTGTGATTGTACCTCTATTAGCCTTTAACCCGTCTATTGGTGCTCAAGACCACGTCTCTGCCTCCACTGTATACCGCCTCTAGTGGTACTCTTGTTTAGTGGACCTTAAATTCCTTTTTTATCATTAAAGGTGGATAGGGTGATTACCTTATTATGGTGGTTCATGGGGGGGGGGATAGGTGGAGGTGCCATACCATGGTGGATTAAGGGGAAGAAGGGGGATACTGTATGGTGGTGGATGAGTACCATATGCTGGTGGATGAGGACCATATGCTGGTGGATCAGTACCATACGCTGGTGGATCAGTACCATACGCTGGTGGATGAATACCATACATAGTGAATTAGTACCGTACGGTGCTGGGTGAGTACCAACGGTTCTGGATGAGTACCAACGGTGCTGGGTGAGTACCAACGGTGCTGGGTGAGTACCAACGATGCTGGGTGAGTACCAACGGTGCTGGGTGAGTACCAACGGTGCTGGATAGTACCAACGGTGCTGGGTGAGTACCAACGGTGCTGGGTGAGTACCTTACGGTGCTGGGTGAGTACCCTACGATGGTGGATGAGTACCAACGGTGCTGGGTGAGTACCCTACGGTGCTGGATGAGTACCCTACGATGCTGGATGAGTACTCTACGATGGTGGATGAGTACCCTACGTTGGTGGATGAGTACCCTACGGTGGTGGATGCGGATTTTATCCCACCACCGGGTAGTGTAGGACAGCGCAGCATGAAGCTTGGGGGTAGTGGAATGGATGCTTGTGTGGGGAGCAAATTGCCGCCCCTAACTACCAACTTGGCTTCCTGTTACGACTTTTTTTACGAGAGGCCCAAATGTTTATGTTGCCACTCTGAATAAACATTACCCCCAGAAAAAAAAGGGACAGAAATATTGAGCATATGTTTGAGACTCTTAATTCTATGTTCCTTAAAATATTTTAAATTTAATTATTTTCATCAAATTTATTCTGAAACCTATGGGGTGTGTACCAGTTTTTTTTTATTATTGTTATAGTGGTATATGTATATATTGACTAGGGGAGTATTATTAGTTAAAATTAACGTAGATATATGACCGAACCTAATAAATAGTTAGGTTAGTGTTAGGTATATATATATATATATATATATATATATATATATATATATATATATATATATATATATATATATATATATATATATATATATATATATATATACTAGGTTTAAACTCTAGTTTTACTAGGTCTAGATTTGGGGGTCTGTCTCTGTCTCTCTGTCAGTATGTTTCACTCTTTCTCACTCTTTCTCTCCCTCCCAATTCCTCTCTCTCTCTCTCTCTCTCTCTCTCTCTCTCTCTCTCTCTCTCTCTCTCTCTCTCTCTCTCTCTCTCTCTCTCTCTCTCTCTCTCTCTCTCTCTCTCTCTCTCTCTCTCTCTCTCTCTCCATATAGTTTATATGTTCTTTAATCTTACATTTTCTTCTTAATGTTCTAGGGCTTTGTTCTCTCCTCTGGCTCATATTGTGAGGATTATGTTGTCTCCTCTCGCTCTCATATTACCACCATGGCACCATTCAGGGAAGATTGCCACCATGATGGGGCCGGGATCCGCATATATGGATGTCATCCACGTGATGAAACCCTCACATATCCTCTCATCTGGCTAGAGACAGGGCCGAGGGCAGAATGTGTCTGATCTTCCTCTGTCATACTTGCCAGTGAGGTCCACTGAAATTGTGACAGATATGATACTTATAAACATTTAAGTATGTTGATTGATCAATGTGTTTTGGTTGTTATGGTAGATGATGTTACGGGTGTCCGTTTTCTGTTTATTATGGTAGAGTGGTAGATTTTTTTAATGGATATTCGTGCTCGGGCCCTAAACCTCTGGCTGGTCCAAAAAGTGTTGTTTGTTTCTGTTTTATTTAGGCGGAGTATGAGTATTTATGATTCGTATGGTCGCTTCAATGAGATTTTGCCCCATTAACAACTTCTTCTGCTCTGTTGAATCTAAGTTGAAATCTTATTTTGTTTGCAACTGTGCACTGTTGCAAACACAAGTTGCATTAGATAATGTTCCAGAGGTCTGTCGGGCATTTCTCCACAGTGCTGACATTTCCTCTTATCTTATCTTCTGGATCCTGTAAGCCTATTTTCCCATGCTTCATCATAGTAGATGATATCAGCAGAGTCCTTTGTTTTCCGCATTCAGTGCGGAAAACTTTCGGATCTTCTTATGAAGTAACTTCCTTACTTCAGAAGTTGCTTCAGAGTCCTTGCAGAAGTAAGGAAGTTATTATCATAAGAAGGCTTCAAGTCCAGAAGACTATTTAACGCCGTTTGTGGTGCAGAATATGTCTTAGATATTTTACAAGAGGCAAATACGAAAGCAGTTTGACGACGAACGAAGTCAAACGTTTCGGTATCACCAGTAAATTTATCCGGCACGAAGCCAGTAAAAGGGCAATAATGTATTGAACTATGCAGGAGCTGCATACTCCAGGATTGGTTTGACGTGTGTTATACCTGATTGTGAATGAATCCTTTCACAAGTTTCTTGTGTAAAGCAGTTCTTATGTTAGCCAATCTAGCATCTGCCGCTGATGATATCCTTTTGGTTAGGTTAGGTTAAGTTAGATTAGGCGATTTTAGACTAGGTTAAGTTATGTTAGGTTAGGTTACGCTAGGTTAGGTTAGGTTAAGCGAGATGGCAAACCAAGTATTAGTTAAAATTACGCCAAAATTAGTACAAGATGAATTTAATGAATTTAATAATGCATATAACGAAGTGAACGAAATCATATCCCTTACTCTCTTCCCTCTTTTATTTAAAAAATATCACGTAGGTTTAATTATTATCAGTTCCTGAGCTCGTAATAATAACGTTAAAAAATAGTCAATATACAAATTCTCCAGCTTCTGTTATCACAAAATTAACGTGCGCTATGCTATCTTGAGAGGTTATCTGGAGATGATTTCGGGGCTTTAGTGTCCCCGCGGCCCGGTCCTCAACCAGGCCTCCACCCCCCAGAAAGCAGCCCGTGACAGCTGACTAACACCCAGGTACCAATTTACTGCTAGGTAACAGGGGCATAGGGTGAAAAAAAACTCTGCCCATTGTTTCTCGCCGGCGCCCGTGATCGAACCCGGGACCACAGGATCACAAGACCAGTGTGCTGTCCGCTCATCCGACCGGCTCCCATAACCGGCTATGATAACTTAGCATAAGAACATCAACAATAAGCATTAATAGGCTGTTTCAGCACGACAAAAGACCCAGGTAAACACAGCATATCCTCGGGGGGCGGGGGGGGGGGGGGGAAAGGAACGACAATCACACTTGATATATTGAGCGACACGACAACAAAAAAATTCAGGTTATAACCGCTATGTTTATCATGGAGTAATGGAGGCCATGCGTCACACACTCCCACCACCACCACGCACTAATGAATATAACGCACTAAGAGGAAAGTGGTGCGTGTGTCTACACACAGGAGGGAGGAGAGTGAGGCCCCAGGAGATATTCTGGGTAACATTCTGGCAACTTCTGGGTAACATTCTGGCAACTTCTGGGTAACATTCTGGCAACTTCTGGGTAACATTCTGGCAACTTCTGGGTAACATTCTGGCAACTTCTGGGTAACATTTTGGCAACTTCTGGGTAACATTCTGGCAACTTCTGGGTAACATTCTGGCAACTTCTGGGTAGCATTCTGTCAACTTCTGGGTAACATTCTGGCAACTTCTGGGTAACATTCTGTCAACTTCTGGGTAACATTCTGGCAACTTCTGGGTAACATTCTGGCAACTTCTGGGTAACATTCTGTCAACTTCTGGGTAACATTCTGGCAACTTCTGGGTAACATTTTGGCAACTTCTGGGTAACATTTTGGCAACTTCTGGGTAACATTCTGTCAACTTCTGGGTAACATTCTGTCAACTTCTGGGTAACATTCTGTCAACTTCTGGGTAACATTCTGTCAACTTCTGGGTAACATTCTGGCAACTTCTGGGTAACATTCTGGCAACTTCTGGGTAACATTCTGGCAACTTCTGGGTAACATTCTGGCAACTTCTGGGTAACATTCTGGCAACTTCTGATATTCTCATGGCTATGTAAGAGGAGTAGAAGGCAAGCTGTTGTGAGGAGAGGGAGGAAACGTTCTACATCAAGAGGAGAAAGTAGGAAACGTTCTATATCAAGAGGAGAAAGTAGGAAACGTTCTATATCAAGAGGAAAGTGTAGGAAACGTTCTACATCAAAAGAGAGAGAGAGAGAGAGGAAACGTTCTACATCAAGAGAAGAGAGGGAGAAAACGTTCAACATCAAGAGGAAAGAGAGAGGAAACGTTCCACATCAAGAGGAGAGAGAGAGAGAGAGGAAACGTTCTATAACAAGAGGAGAGAGGGAGGAAACGTTCTACATCAAGAGGAGAGAGAAGGAAATGTTCTACATCAAGAGGAGACAGTAAGAAACGTTCTACATCAAGAGGAGACAGTAGGAAACGTTCTATATCAAGAGGAGACAGTAGGAAACGTTCTATATCAAGAGGAGACAGTAGGAAACGTTCTATATCAAGAGGAGACAGTAGGAAACGTTCTATATCAAGAGGAGACAGTAGGAAACGTTCTATATCAAGAGGAGACAGTAGGAAACGTTCTATATCAAGAGGAGAGAGGGAAAAAAACACTCTACATCCTACATTCCAGTAGAGGTTGTGGACAAACTGACAACATTCCCAGAAGAAGTAGAGAGTCAGTGAAGACAAGATCAAGATCTTCAAGTGAGTATCAACAAACTGCAAGATAAGATCAAAGTCTTGAGATTGTTAGATGACAACACCTAACAATTAGCAACAAGCTGGAGAAGGTTGAGGATAGATACAGAGAAAGTATTGGTCTGGCAAGAAGGATAGATACAGGTGGAATAGGCTGCCGAAATCATAGAGGCTAGAGATAGAGTTAGAAATAGGTCCGAGAGATAGAAGGAAGAGATTGGTTGGATCTAGATGGGTTCAGCCAACCAGGGATCTCACATGTGATATGTTTGTTGTTGTGAGAAAATGGGTCTTCCCAGCTGACTGATGAGGTGAAGGGGCAATGTATCATGTCTCGGATCACCGCTCTTATGTGTAAGCTATGTGTATCACTTATGTTTCTACGTATATACACATAGCTGGTACGGGCTGCATCCTGGTGTGTGTGTATGTATTAGAAAAATATATATATAATAGATATAATAGAGGAAAAATAGATTAGTTAGAAAAAGACGAGGGTTCAAGAGCTAATAGCTCGATTCGGTAGGCACAAATAGTAAATTACAAATAGTAAATACACAAAATCTCT